GAGGATTGAACCCAGGACCTTCTGTATGCTAAGCATGTGCTCTACCACTTGAGCTATACCCTCCCCCTATATCTTCTTAAAAAGTTAAGCACACTTTTTATCATATGACCCAATAATTCCACTCCTAGGTATTTGCCCAAGATAACTGAAAGTATAGGCCTACAAAAAGACTTGCACTTGAATGTTCATAACAACTTTGTTCATAGTAGCCCAAGCTGGAAACCACTCAAGTGTTTATCAACAAGTGAATGGGTAAGCAAATTATGTTTGTGTCTATGAGTAGGATTATAGAATACTATCCAGCAATAAGAAGAATGAACTATTGATACATGTGACATCATGGCTGTATTTCAAAAACATGTGAAATGACTGTAAATTGACTATAATTCAATTAAAAAATAAATTAATAAAAAAAGAGAGCTTTGCATGAACCAAAAAGAAAAAAAAATGTAGAACGAAAGAAGCATACATACCATAACACTGCATGATTCCATTTCTATGAATTTGCAGAATAAAGGAAATCTAATCTATAGTCACAGAATATGTATTATTGGTAGTGGGGAGGGTCAGAGTGGAGGGAAACTGACTGAAAATGGGTAAGAGGAAATTTCTGTGGTGATAGAAATATTCTCTAATTTGTGATATGGTTGTGACATGATAGCATAAGTATACATGTTTGTCAAAACGTATCTAATTGTAAACTTAAAATGGGTGCATTTTATTGTACGTAAATTATGCCTTGATAAAGTTTTTTTAAGATTATTTTTTTAAACAAGAGGTCCTATTGGATGAAAGTGGGCCCACTGGATGAAAATGAATGTTTACTGACAAGAGCCTCCATAGTTCACCTCACCATCTGACTATCTGCCTTAAAGAAGGAAAAAGTGTGTCTAGAGAGGGAGACCTCAGGGCTTAAGGGGTCCCCTGCTCAGAAAGTCAAGGGCTTACCTGGGCCAGGTAGCAGCCATTGGCTGAACGAATCTGCAAGTTGGGGCTCTCGCCATCACATTCAAACTGGAACAAGGACACTGGGATTACATGCTCAGAGGCAGCACACACCTCAATATCTGTGGAGGAAGAACATGTCAGAGAAGCCTGAGTCTAGTCTCAGCTCCTCCGCCATACTTTTGGCTGTCGTTCCCTCTGTTTTCTCTCCTCAGCCTTCATCACCTTCTGTTGGACCATAGTAGGCTGGAGAAGACCCAGGTCACTTTCCCCTCAAAGCCACGCCTCTGCCTTAAAGGCCTTCTCCATGGCACAAGAGATCCTCTTGGGACCTCAGGATCTTCCTTATCAGTAGGTTCAGAATCCTCACTGATCCCAAACACAATTTCCTCTTCCAGCCCTCCCTCCCTCTGTGGCTGTGTTGGACCTAACACTTGCCGTAGATGACGGAGAGAAATTTCCGAGTCTTTGACCTGAGGCTGACCCAGGTAGGGCAGCGCTGGAGGATGAACCACTCCTCGCCCCGATGTGGATTGGAACCCAGGCTTAGGAGCAGGCGTGGGCCCTGTGGATACAACATGCCTCCTTCCCCATCGCTCAGTGCCACAAGCCCTCCAGGCCGCACTTGCATGTGAAAAGCTGTCTGTGTTGAGGGTTGGGAGACTAGCCGGTCTAAGTGGGACAAGAAGGTGTGTGCAGAGGTCTCCAGGTGGTAGCATCCATCTTGGAAGTGCAACAGGAAGCCACATTCTTCCAGGCAGGGAATTGGTGTGTCCACCCAGACTCTGCCTATGGTGGGGTCAGCCCGGGCGTAGCAGTGGTTGAGGGGGCTGTAGAGGATCACATGGGCATGCAGGGCTGGCCGGGGGGTCCACATGTGGTACGCTGAGAGGACCCGGGAAGTGCAGAAAACATCCTCGCCATCAGACTCCACATAACGACCACTGATTATGCACTGGAGGGTCCATTTACCATTGCGGTGGAAACGGAGTAGGAAACATCCATGATGGCTTGTACTTGGCCGACCATAGCGCACAGAACCATTCGCCTCACACAGAAGGTAAAGGCCCTGCAAGCTTCTTAGTCGGACCACAGCCTGTGTGTCATGCTCATTGCTCACTAGGATCTCCCAGGTCTGGAGGAATCAGGAGGAAGAAGAGGGGAATCAGTACTGCCAAGAGATCAGACTGGGGAGTCCACGATCATCACCCCCTGTATCACCCCAGCACCCTCATTGAGAACAGCCACCTTCCCTCCACATCGGCCTCCTTACTGTCCACTCTTCTACCCTCTCATCCCATGGTAATCAAAGATCTTAGGGCACCTCCACACTGGAGCTATAAGGTTTCTCAAGATTCCAAGAGTAGTTCTAGATACCCAACTCTTTCAGGCAACAGAAGGTAAAACTCCCTCTTTCTTCCTTGATCACTTCCTTAAAAACCTAACTTTCCAATAAATGCTTTGGTTTAAGTCTTACTTCTCTCTTCTCATTGTTGCCCCTGAACAGCACACTTAGCCAACATGTCCACCTCCAAAGGCCACCTCTCCAACATGGCAGGAGAAAAGCAAGACCTCTTATAGGCAGGCCTGGGCTCCGGGGATGAGGATGGAAGCACAGACAGCCGACATGCAATAATCTGCTTCAGCTGTCATCAAGCTTGTTCTAAGTGGGAGGAATTTGTTATTGCCTCTCTGTAGCACCAGCCTGGAGGTGCCTACATCACTCTCTCAAATGAAGACCAACTCTCCTATGGCTTCTAGAGTATCCCATTCTCAAACTATAGCCAGAACGGAAACATAGACCTTGCAGTAACTCCACTGATCCAACTTCCCCTGGACGTCCACGATTCTGCCTACTAGTCTGGGCTCTCCACCTCTCCTTTTTGTGATAACGCAATCATTCTGTGCTGGGATAGAGGGTTGGGAGCACCCAGAGCAAGACAAGGTAGCAAAGCCAGGGCTGAGGCTTCACCTCATGCAACACGCTTAGAGAGAGGGAGATGAGCCTGGCTTGTCCCGGCAATGGCAGAGGCTAGTAAGGCATTAGGTTAAAAGTGCTCCCCCCATCTCCTCACCCGCCCCCCCCCCCCCCGCTTGGCCACTGGGAAAAATGGTTCCGGTGCAGGTTTGCTTCGTTACCTGTCTCCGGCCCAAACCCTTTGCAGTAGCAGTGACCGTATTCTTATATGTCTCAAAAGTGAGGTAGGATCCTGCCCAGCTGATGAGCCCAACCCTTAGGTCCTCGGCCTTGGGTTGTCTTGGCATCCACTCCACCTCGTCCATGCGGCCGGCACCACAGGTGATGACTCCGTCCGGCCCAGCCTTCCCCCCAGTGGTGAGGTTCCACAGGCCATAGGGCCTGGAATCAGGCCTTTAGAACCCACCAGAAGATGTTCCCAGAGGGAACTTCCCAGGCAGAGGCCGGCCTGGGGCCCAGTGCCTCTGTGACCCGGGAGCATTGTGACTGTGAGGTCTGCCTCTTATCCCACCACAGAGGGGAAAGGACTGGCTCAGCAACACCAATCCACGGGCCAGAGGAAGTGGGCCCGGGGCCTCTGGCTTTATCCTCCCACCTCACTCCAGGCACCGAGGGCACCGAGTTAAGACTGGGAAGCAGAACTTCAGCTTGTGCCAGTGACCACCTGTGACTTCAGGCAAGTCCCTCCCCTTCTCCACTTCTGTTTCTCATTTCAATCACAGGATAGAAACCAGCCTCTTTCTTCTTTAGAAGTGGGTTCTGCCTGGATCCCACGGGGCTCAAGTGTTTTTAGAATTCAAGATATCCAAGAAAAATCTATTAACTTTTATGGCCCTTGGGAGAATGAGACCAAAATGTCTCAGAGGGTACTTTTCAGGGAGTGTGCAGAAACCCTAGGTAACCAGCAAGAATCCAATTACTCGTGTCAGTCAGGAAGGGCTGACTCAGGAGCAGAGTAAGGAGAATGGCCCAGGTTGGGGGAGCACAGAACACCCTCCTCACAGTCCCCAGGTGCACTGCTGCTGGGCAGACAGCCAGGGCTGCCCCTAAGGGTACCCGCCCTTCCCTGACAAAGGAGTCTCTGCTGGTCAACCGCCTCCAGGATTCACTACCTACAAAGCCCATGGAGAAAACCACCCCAGAACTTGGAGAAACCGACATGAAATAAGAAGGGACAAAGGGAAAAAGAAATTATCATGGTGATAGTGGGTCTTGTTTAAGCTTTGCTAGGATGCAAAGAGAAATGGGCAGAATGAGCCATACTTGAATAGCCCACAGCCCTGGTCCAGTACACGCATCTTCCTCTTCCCCGTAGGTGAGGTCTTCACAGGTAGAAAGTCTCAGGGGTGCACAATGAGGGGCTGTAATCCTCCAGGCCCTACCAATGTTTTATAAAATAAGGCTAATAGGCTACGAGTGGTAGAAACACCAAAATGCATATTCTTGGGCCTCAGACCAGTTCTGATGAATCACATTTAAAAAAATTTTCTTTTTCCTTTTTAAAACATTTTTTCATGAGGTAATTTTAGGTTTATTTATTTATTTATTTATTTTTAAACAGAGATACTGGGGATTTAACCCAGGACCTTGTACATGCTACGCATGCATTTTACCACTAAGCTATACCCTCCCCCGAATCACATTTTCTGAAGTGCACCTCAGGACTCTTATTTTTAATAAGTATTCCTTGCCCCTCAAATTTTAATGTGCACAGTCATCATTAAGAACCACTGCTCTAAGTAGCTGGGAGATGGATGGGAAACGGGATTGTGTGGCCTATGGAACCACGAAGGCAGAGCCTGCTACCCTCAGAAAAGGCTCCTTGGAATTGGGGAAGGAATGGGATTTCTTCCACTGGAGCCCCTAAAGTACTTCCAGCCTCGAGAATGAGGACGGAGGAGCTGGGCTAGATGAGGGCAGTGATTGTGTGTGTGTGTGCGCGCGCGCGCACGCAAGCACGCACCCACTCAGTGGAGGGGGTGGGACCTGCACCCTTAGCTGCTTTGAGCCTCCCCTATATTGTCTCTTTACAGCCAACAACCCAGCCCCCCACCTCTAGGCTATGGACAACACCACGTACAAACCACAGCAAATTTATTACTCAATATCCAGTGCCACATCATAGCACCACCCGGAGCCCTCACCTTCCCTCCCCACCTGGCCCCAAGGGTACACCCAAAATGGAAAAAACAAAAGTAAACCCAGATCTCTGCTCCTCCTTTGGAAGAAGGGGCCTTGGACCTGGAAGCCCCTTTGCACAGGTCCCAGCAGGCAGGAGAGTGGACCCCTCCGTGCCCAGAGAGCCGGGCTCCAGGCTCCAACAACAGAGAGAACATGCAGGCAGGAGCCGGAGCAGAGGCCTGTGTCTGCCGGGGAGGAGGAGCTGGGAGGGAGGGGCACGGCCTGAGGAGTCCGGGAGTCTGGTCCTCCCGGGATGCACGCGGGAGCTTCTGGGCAGCAGGGGCCGGCCCCTGGTCGGTTAGCGCTTCGACAGCTCGTGGGACAGCCAGTCCAGCCCATCATACAAGCCTGTGCCTTGGGTGGCACAGGTGGCCTGGACATACCACTGTGGGGAGAAGGAAAGAAAGAGGTCAGGAGCAGGGAAGAAGAGGAGATGACTTTATTTTCTGCCCCGGCCTGGGGCTCCCTCGGGAGAGGCAGGCCCTCACCGTGCGACTGCGCAAGTGCTGTAGCCCGAGCTTGTCGGTCAGCTCGCTCACGGGCATGGCGTTGGGCATGTCCTGCTTGTTGGCAAACACCAGCAGCACCGCATCCCGCAGCTCATCCTCCTGCAGCTAAGAGAGGCGAAGGGGGTGGAATCTGAGGTTCCAGGGGGGCCCCCTGGCTCCCTCTTCCCGGCTGTGTAGGGGAGCCCCCTATTTGTGGGAACAATAGAATACTGTGTCGTCTACGGCCGAACACAAGACAGAGAATTATAAATCAGCTTGAGGCTGTTTTGGCCTTAAGTCCAGAAAGGGCCTTTTTCTAACTTGAGTATTGGCCCTTGTCAAAATGACAAAAGTTTCCAAATGGAAAAGCAATAAAGTAAGAGGGTGTTTCTTTCCACCACGTATAATTCCCCTCTCCTCACCAACTTCTCAGACCCAGGTGTGAAGATGTGAGAGAATTCAAGGAAAAAGTAAGTCCTACACCTTCTACCTGACCTCAATTCAAAACAGGGTGAGCTACTTCCTATGACTGTGTCCACAAAGAGGGACACACATTCAAGGCCTGTGGAATTTCCTGACTCTCACACCAGCATGGAGGCCCCTCTGACCCCGGGCGCTGGGTGCTCACCATCTTCTGGAGTTCGTCAGCAGATTCCTGGACCCGCTCTCGGTCATTACTGTCCACCACAAAGATGAGGCCCTGGGTGAGAAGGAAGAAAGGAGGAGTGATCACTGGTGTCTGGGACGTACACATTCTCATCTGGCTCTTTCTCTCTCCTGCTCATCTTTCATTGTGTCTAAACCCTTCTCATCTAGTAAACTTCCATTACAGCTCTGCAGATGTCCTAGCACAAACTGAAGACACCCTGCAAAGGATACAGCCTCTGCCCTCAGGCGAGCAGTCTAGCTACAAGATGTGCAAGGCAACAGGGAAAGACATGTGATGAGAGCTAAATCAGGCAGCGAGGATTCAGAATTCTGCTTCTCAGGAGAAGTCTAAGGTGGCCAAGTCTCAGAAGACAGGCCAGTGTGAAGGATGAGGAGAGGCTAGCAAAAAAGCAGGGAGAAGGAGGTAAGGGTTTTTTCCCGGCCTAGGCCATCAGCTCAGTCTTCCTAACCCTAATACCTCTTCCCCTGGGGTTGAGGAGCCCCAACCTGAGTGTTCTGGAAGTAGTGCCGCCACAGAGGCCGAATCTTGTCCTGGCCTCCCACGTCCCAGACTGTGAAACAGATGTTCTTGTATTCCACTGTTTCCACATTGAAGCCTGCAGATTGATTGGGAAAAATAGGAGAAAAAAGTCCTGCTAGGAAGGAACTCACGAAAACTGTGGATTCAGCAGGGACACAAAACCAGAAGGCAGTGATCAAGGCTCAAAGGAAGAGAATCCCAGAGGGCCCCAGTCCACGGACGGGGCGGGGCTAGGTCATAATTAACCCTCCTCGGCACCACCCTGCACATAAAGATACCCTGACCCACTTCTCAGGTAGCAGTATCTGATGTCAGGGTCAGCTCCCTGCCAAGAGATAAGGGCCTTGGGCAGAATGGGCAACAAATCCTGAGAAGGCCCGCCTCCGCGCTCCCGCTTCTCCCGGCCTTGCCTCCGGACTCACCTATGGTGGGGATGGTGGTGACAATCTCCCCCAACTTCAGTTTGTACAGAATTGTGGTCTTGCCCGCTGCATCCAAGCCAACTGCAACGAAGAGGGACACACGAATGGAGATGGGAGCGAGGGAGCCCCCTAGAGCCCAGGGAACGGGGGAGGCCAGGACAGCTTATGGTGACGGGGGCGGAGAGCCTCCAGGTGCGCGCTGTTATCTACCTTCGGGGCCTCGGGGGCAGGCTGGGTGGTGAGCGCCAACTCTTGTCCCCCAAGCGGGCGAGAGGTGGCAAAGGACTGAGGGATAAGAGGCTCAAGAGGAGGGCCGCGCTCCTTTTAAAAGTCGTCTCCAAGGGCGGAATCCTCCCTTCTTGCCAGCCCAGCTCGGGCTGAGGGAGCTTCACCCTACCCAGGCCCGCAGCTTCTGGTCTCAGGCCCGGGGCGGTGCTGCAGACTGCGACCTACCCGAGGTAGCGGACCCAGGGGGTTAGGAGCTGGGTG